GGAGGGGCCGGGGGTGAGGGAGCCACAGAGGCGGCAAGGGCAGGCGGGTGCAGGGGCAGGGCAGGCAGGGGGGCGCAGAGGCTGCAAGGGCGGGGGGATGCAGGGGCTGCAGGGCGAGTGGGGAGCAGGTGTCACAGAGGCGGCAGGGGGCGCAGAGGCTGCAGGGGTGGGGGGTGCAGGGCGAGCAGGGAAGCACTTAGCAATCCCCAACCAAGATCAGAGCAGGAGAGAGGAGGGGGAATGCAGGGTGCTCAGAGAAGGGGGCAGAGTTGGGGCAGGGACTTTGGGAAGGGGCAGAATTGGGGCGGGGCAGGGGGTGGGGAAGGCACGGAGTTGGGGCAGGGCCAGGGCCCCAGTGGAGTGTCCTCTTTTTTCAGTGTTGAAATATGGTAACCCTAAAAATGCAGCACAAACTAATTAGAGCTAAAATACTTCATTTTGGTCTATCCTCATGTTTTATATGTACAGAGACATAAAACTAAATGGTGACTATAACAGTGTGGTTTGCCCCTTTAAGGGGCGAGGGATCTGGGGCCAGACAGCCCTATTCTGAGGCAGAGCCCCTTTAAGAACAGGTGTTTGGGCCTGGTAGAGGGGATTATCAGACCCAGTTGGGAAGGGGTCAGGTAACTACCTAATAAGATCTGATTCCTATGAAGGCTGAAAGAGCTCAGTTGAAGGGGAGCTGGAAGCCAAAGGAAGAAGGCTGGCTCGTGTGGCAGGCCCTAGACCAGGGGGAGTCCCAGGCAAATGGCATATAGGAGGACTGGGGAAGAGATGACCAGAACAGGGAGGGCTCTAGCAAGGAGCCCCTTGGTCAGGGGAAAGTTAGCTGTTGGCTTTATGTTAAATTGTTTTATTTTGGGATTTGCTGAAGATTGTCCATGCATTCAGTAAATGGTGTCCTGAAGAAAAGACCTGAACAGATACTGGGTATGGCATGAATCCTTTCTGGGCTGGGGAGACATGCCAGCAGCCTATAAGTAACCTACACATTACATTCTTGTCATTCAAGTGTTGGCTTCTTTCTTTGGCGGGATCAGGAAAAGGGAGAATTGGGTTTTAATACTCTTATTCTGCAGCTGAGGAATAAGGAACAAAACTTTTTCCTTTGAAAGGTACAAACTAACCCTGATTCCAAATTATTACATGTAGATTCAGTGTTCTAAATGTAATGTATAGTTCATACAATGACAGACGTGTCAACTTGCTGGGGGGATTGTATAGCCCACACTTCAGAGGTCTTAGCCAATGTTCTCTTCACTCATTACTGGTCATAAGACCATTTGAAAGGAAATGAGACAAACAGCCAAACACTACTCAGGAAAGAGAGGATGTGGCCAAAAGAACAGAAGTGGGTCTCAGATTTTTCCATCAGTGTCTGGTTGTGAGGAAGAATAATGGATGAACATGCACAACCTGTTAAGCTTTTCTTATGATAGTCTCTTACACAGATAATGAATGCACTAATAACAGACAACTACAAAGGCCCAAAAAGTCAGACAACTACTGGATGAGCTATGTTGAAAGAACAGCACTTACCAGCCCCTAAACACAAAAGCACCATCCTCAGCGAAACCCAGCACCAGAAAAAAAAATCACAGCAATACATTAGTGTAATAACAGTATTACTAAATGATGTATGGAACATGCTAATCAAGAAATACAAGTGCACTTGGATGGAGTATGGATGAAATTGTAATAGTACTGACATCTGATGTACCCAGAGTAGAGAAATTAATCAAATGGCAGGAGCATTTTTCCCCATTAATATTGCAGATCACACAACAATTATTTTACAGTGATAATAGTGAAATAGCAGCAGTCACAGAAATTAAATAAATGTATAAGTGTAAAAACTATGTGAGGAATAGAAAACTGGTGAACATACAAGTAAAATCACATTTTCAGAACAGGATAAAGAGTCTCAAATGGAACCAAGGCCCTCAATTCTGGATGACGAAACCAGAAACTTGGAGCCCTCCTTCAAAGTACAGGTCCCAGATGAGCCTTATGGTGGTGGTTGGACCTTTCAGATCATGGAATCAGGGTAGCTATATCTGATGGTAAACAACTACAGCTTCTTTTCAATTAGCAGCTCAAATGAATTTATAATCACATTTAAAACCAAAACCCATAATTTCTCAGAGAACTGTACAAGGTTAACACTCACATTCCAGATCTAACATGCAACAACCAAATCCAAACCAAGGTTATCAAAAACAGCAAGTTCAAAGATTGGTGCTGTGGATGTGACAACAGCATGTGGATGTGACAAGAGCATATTTCAGCGTATTTCCCATATTTATAACCATTTTGTTAATCAAAGAAATGAATAAAAATAATTTAAATCAGGACTGTTCTATATACGCAAATGTTATTTGTGCTGAATGACTTAACTTAATAAAATGCAGCATTTCTCTCAGGGCACAGATAAACAGATGGTAGATCATACTTTTTCCTGATTTATGCAAGAAATTTCATTTTTAGCAGAACCATACAGCAGTTTCCCACACTGTATAGAAAACATTCTCAGCGTTTTACTGTTCCTTATAGAGAGACCCAATTTCATAGTCCACAGACACACAAATCTGAAAATAAATCAATGCTCTCATAGCTATAATTTAAAAGATTGCTTTTCCTTCAGCTTTAACTCCCCCACCCCAGAGTACTTCAAAATGAGACATTTTATCACAGTGAATGAATGTACTATATCCATCTGTTTAAAAAAATAAAAACACTGTTGGGGTTTTATGCTACAGTTTTATAAGTTAAGCTTCATATGCTGCCAACTGAGATACATCACCAGTCAAGATTTCAAGTCATTTCCACCTCCCATTTTAAGCACTCTGATTCTTAAATACATACATCAGTTACCTCAAAGCCGGAGCATTCTTTATTCTGTAAAAAATGTATTTTCATGAAAGCTTAGAGGTTTCTTTTAAAAAGAGGGAAACCTCTCCAGTATATGAATTTGGGAGACAGTCTGATTCATTACTCCCTCCTAGAAGACCAAATACTCATGGGCCTAAGATTTGTGTGTTACAATAACTGGATGAGTGAGGTAGGGGATTAGGTTTAACATCAATGGAAATTCAAGTCACAGTACAAGCAGGCAGACATTGTATGTGCATTCCAGGACAGGGACAGTTTCCCCTACCCTATATTACAGAGCTCTGTGTACATCTACAGTGTCATGGTTATTAACAGCCACTATATCCAATAGTAACCATTAACATGTTTATAATTTTACCTTTGCCTAATTCATTTTTCTCTAGAACTTGTGTTATTGCCTATATTTAGTACAAGGAATGCCATAGTAACTGGTAACCCTAAATTACATGCAAAAGGCCATTTAAAAATTTGTAATGAATCCACTGTATGGAAGAACAGACTATATATTGGATAAGGCTCGTAAAGCATGTAATTTTTAGACAGGTATTTTTAATAAATTGAATAGTAAATAATTGCTTCACTATTAAAATATGAATTGCAAGCTGTATTAGCATTGGTCTAGTCATTATGTTTCATATAACAAATTTTTGTATACTACATCTACATAGGGTGACCAGACAGCAAATCTGAAAAAACGGGACGGGGGTGGGGGGTAGGAGGAGCATAGATTAAAAAAAACCCAAAAATCAGGACCGTCCCTATAAAATCGGGACATCTGGTCACCCTACATCTACAAAAAAGTAATACTTGCAAGCATAGAGAAACCAATGTCAGCCCTCAAATCTTATAGTATAAGTATTTGATGCCCTATGAAATGTTACATACATGCTCTCAAATAGAATAAAAGATATATTTAACTTTTAAAGGGTCAATAGGATCCTTCCACAGATGGCACAGAAAGTTTTTATAAACAAACCCAAATTCATTACCTTTCTGTAGACAATCATATTTGGAGAACTCTCCTCTGGGTCAGCAGTTTCCACATTACTTTGATCAGTGGCTCCTTGGGCCATGCTTAACAGTTGTCACTCACACTGCAAGGACAAGAATAGAATACAATGGAACATCAAGTCACATAGAAGTATGATAAGATACATTCCAAATTCAAAGATAGATAAGAGAGAAAGGGACAGAGAAATGCGCTCTGATCTCATTCCTTCATAGACTTGTCACACTCACTCACAGGATAGCTTGGATGTGTGAGACAGAGAAACATTTTCATTTTAATGAAACACGCAAAGAACAATACTTAGCCACAAACAATTGTCTTTATCAAATAGCTATCTTTCCCCATTTCCAGCCTGACATTGTAAGACCCTTTTCAGAAAGGGGGTGTGACGGTGCTGCCCATGGGAGCCAGCTGAGGTCACTCAATTAGGGTGAACTGCAAACAAAACGGGGCAGACAAATCCCAAAAGCTGGTGGATATTTCAATACTTGATTTACCAAGCCAGCACAAAACAACTTCTATAGTACCTCACTGGTTACTTAGAAGTCCAAACAACGCAGTTCCCTTAAAGTGCCCAGCTTCAGGCCTCCATCCAGACACACTTGTCAAACATCTGATGATTACTGAAAATCTTATCTCATTATATAAAAGAAAAGGTTCTTCCAATCCCAAAGGATCGACCACATACCCAGGCCCAATTACAACTTAGATCTTACCCAAAATACACGCTTATAGCTAATTCTTATTAACTAAACTAAAATGTATTTAAAAAGAAAAGAGAGAGAGAATGTTGGTTAAAAGATCAATATACATACAGACTTGAATTCAATTCTCGAGGTTCAGATACACAGCAGAGATGCGTTTGTAGTTGCCCAAAAGTCCTTTTAGAAATAGTCCATAGGTTATAGTCCGATGTTCATATTCAGGGTGGCTCCAGTCTATGACTGGGGATCTCAATCCTTATGGCTTAAGGTTTCCCCCTCTTGAAACCCAAAGCAGACTTGAGATGAAGTAGTATAAGAACCTTGGGACATGATCCATTTCCAGCAGCCTTTTGACCTGAGAAAACAATAGGCTTAACTCTCCTTCTCCCAAACATCCTGGCAATTAGCACAGGGTAATTTATCCATTAAACAGTTCAGATACAGGTTACCACAACCTTCAAAGAGACATATAGACAATAATACTATTTCACTCAAGTATCTTCCTAAATGTTAATATTCCTTTTTTGACCTTTGAATCAAAGCTATAGCAATAGACAAGACCTGTTTGCTTACATCACAAGACCTGAGCAAACATCTACCCTTCTATCTCTAACAATACAAGCTGCATTTCAAAGCTCTTCATTTACATATCTTCCTAACCAGTCTCTAAAGTTCGGCCATGGGTCAGGTTAGTCTGTGAGTTAATTAACTCTTTCTGACCCTGTCATCTTTCAATGAGATATTATATCACACTCATAACGTCACAGTAGGAGATGAGTGTTTTGCACAAAACTTCCTCCCCTTCCAATATACCCCCCAAAATAGCGCACTACTGGCTGGTATCTTCTTAGGAATTTACTTATATGCTGTATGTGCCTGACGCCTTGGCTACACTCGTGGATTCACAGCGCTGTGAAGCGCAAGCGTAGTCGCACCGCCAGCGCTGCGAGAGCTCTCTCGCAGCGCTGCAAGTACTCCACCTCTCCGAGGGGAATAGCTTGCAGCGCTGCGAGAGAGCGTGCAGCGCTAGCAGGCGCTGATTACACTGGCGCTTTGCAGCGCTGCACTCGCTGCGCTCAGGGGGGGTGTTTTTTCACACCCCTGAGCGCAGCAAGTGCAGCGCTGTGAATTGCCAGTGTAGTCAAGGCCTGAGATACCCCAAATCAAATTCAAAAAGGAGAGAAAGAGTACACTTGAATGAATTTCACAGGAACAAGTCAAATTGCTACTGTTCTTAAGGGAGAACTCTCACTGGTAGAAACAATAGATTGATTGTCATGGATGCATGGCATATCAACATCAATCCAGCTTCCTCAGTGTCAAGCTCACAGTTTGAGGCCTTGGCTACACTTGCAGCTGTACAGCGCTGTGAGGTAAACCTGTCTTCGTACAGCTGAGTAGGGAAAAACACTGCAGTCTGTCCACACTGACAGCTGCCAGCGCAGTGGTGTGGCCACACTTGTAACATTTGCAGCTGTGTTGGGAGTAGTGCATTATGGGCAGCTATCCCAGCATTCGTGTGGCTGCAACGTGCTTTTCAAAACCGGGGGATGGGGTAGATTGTGACAGGGAGTGTTGCGGGGAGAGAGAGTGCTTTTTGGAGCATGTCAGCTCTCTATTTTGCAAGTTCCAAACTCCCGGCCCCTGCTTATTCATTTACTCACTCAAAGCAAGCTGCAAATTGTTTGCTTTTCTCTGTGTTAAGAGCTTTGAAACCGGCACAACAATGGAGAAGATTGGCCACTTGACAAGGTGATTAGTACAGCGCTTGTTTACACTCACACCTGTGAGTCGTAGCCACTCCGCTGCAGCTGTTATTCCTCTCGGAGATGTGGAGTACCTGCAGCGGTGTACCCAGCAGGGCCGGCTCCAGCATTTCTGCCGCCCCAAGCAAAAAAAAAAGCCGCGATCGCGATCGGCGGTGGCAATTGGGGAAAAAAAAAAAAAAGCTGCGATTGGCGGCGACAGTTCAGCGGTAGGTCCTTCGCTCCTAGAGGGAGTGAGAGACCTGCCGCCCCCGAATTGCCGCAGGTGCCGCCCCTCTCCCTTGGCCACCCCAAGCACCAGCTTGTTAAGCTGGTGCCTGGAGCCGGCCCTGGTACCCAGGGAGATACAGCGCTGCAAGTGCCCTGCCAGTGTGGACGGGGAGTTACAGCGCTGTAATTTGCAAGTGTAGCCAAGGCCTGAGTCTCAGCATCTGTACTGATTATGAACCTGTTAGTTGTGAACTATAAAGACTGCAAAAGCCACAGGGAACATTATTGCCCAGTGAAGGCCAACCTCAACCCAAAGAATAATAGGTTTGTCTGTAAACTAAAAGCTCCAGTCTACATGTGATTTATTAGACACTTAGGCTGAAATTTTCAAAAGCAACTATGTGTCTTTGAAACACAAGTCCCATTGAAAGTCACTTTGGATCTTTTGAAAACCCAGCCTTAATGTTTTTATCCTACATCAGTTGTTCTCAAAGCATTCTATAGGGTGAACTCATGTTACAACAGACAATAGTTTGGAGGCCTATCTCCCATTCAGCCATAGAGAAGGTAAGGGCAGTCATTACCCCCTGGGCCTATTCACAACATCCAGGTTGAAAACCCATGCTATAAAGATCTGATCCTTTGACCACTAAAGTCAATAAGAGTCTTTCCATTGACTTCAATAGCCATTGGATCAGGCCCCAAGTGTGCAGTATAAGTTATTATGTAGTAAGAATTTTTAGACCATGAAGTTTCCATTCCTACAGGTCATTCAGTACACTAACATCCTGTTCCACTTATGATTTCTTCTCTTTAATTTAATAGCATAAGCTTGCTAGCCTGTCTGTCCCCAGCCCAGGAAGAACTAACACCACAGACAGGTCTCTTTCAGGCCCTTCCCTCAATGCATGATTAATTCACATTTTTAAAAAAAAAAATCACAACACAACACACAAAAAGCTCTTCCCCGGAGCAACAGAGGCTGCAGGGGCCCAGAGACCTTTAATTCTACACCTTTCCCTCTAGTCCCTGGCCAGTTGCAGGAACCAGTTTCCCTTCCCCAACTGAGCCACTTTCTGGCTTTTACAATTGCTGGGTCTGACAACTGAACAGTGCTGGCTGGCCCCAGGACCCCCAGCCCTTAAAGGGACAGACCATCCTCTTACAGATAAGTAATGAGAACTGAAATTTTAAATCCATTGGTGCTATTTCCAGAGAAATGACATTGCTGGTGGAGGTTGTCTCACCAGCTGTCTTAGTTACCTTAATGGTTTCAATATAACCTCCACAATGGCTTTGATCAAGGGGGTTATGAATTAGTTTTAACATATCCAGGCATCAGTCTAGTGTGAGCTAGCTGTAAACGTCAGCATCTACAGTTCCTAAACATACTAATTACTAGATACCACCTAGACAATTCAGTGACGAGAGAGAGAGAGAGAGAGAGAGAGTACCTTTGAGCAGACCAAACTATTTTAAACTTAAAAAAGATACGAAGGGGACACAGT